TTGGGTTGTTTTGACCCAGCGGTTGGGTTAAATGTTTAACCCAACCTTCTGGGTAGTAAGCCAACCGCTGGGTCAAAACAACCCAATTGCTGGGTTTGTCCCTATTTTACCCAGCACTGGGTTGTATTTAACCCAGCATTTTTTAGAGTGCACCTGAATGCAACTCGGATTTCAGAGGGCTAAAAAACACTGACACTGACTGAAAAACACTATAGAGAATGAAAGACCAAAAACCAAGAGCAAATGGCTAATGAATACACTGTTTTATTTAGACAAAAACATAGTATATCTACAACTTGAATATTTGATTCTCACTTAATGAGGTCTGGTGATTGATTTCATAAGTAATAATGGCATCAGCTATTCAAGCGCACTCCTAAAGTCAGCAATTCAGCAATATGCCATCAATATAGATTTCTGATATTAAGTATTAACGTTTAAGAGTGCAATATATGATCTGAAGGGTCTCTTTCAGGAAGCTGTATATTTTATATATCTCCACTCTTAAAAATGCTGGGTTGTTTCAACCCAACTTTGGGTCAAATATGGACTAACCCAACCATTGGGTTAAATCAGCGCTACACTGTCGGTGAAAAAGGGCTAAAAGAGAGAGAGCGAATGTGTGTTTTGTGTCTCCAGCAATCAGATTGAGTATCAGTCAAAGCAGGGAAAGCCAGTCTGCCACAGAGAGACATTAGAGCTGATATCAATTCTGTGGATGGAGTAATGGCTTAAAGAGACTGGCTTTTTCCCTTGATCCTACATCAGATGCTGTAATATCCATCAAAGGCAAGGAATTCTTCAGTCATACAGATCTGATTCAGTCTCTAGAGCCGTACGGCTCTGATTTCCCCACGGAATGAACTATGGGGTCGTCTGATCTCACTCCCGGAAGGACACTCTTATAATACACTCACATTTGTGCACACACACATACCTACACTCCCTTATGGTCCACTTGGTCAAGCTGAACCCCAACACAGTGAAATAAATTTCATCATCTCTTCTACTATAGGGCTAAACAATATGATAAAATAGAACTGGTAAAAATGGGTATGTATATTGATAATTTCAACAACTTCAAGTGTGCCAATTACAACTTAAAGTCATAAAAATAATTTTTAATAATTTTTTTTTTTGACAATATATTGTTACGTTGTCTGAAGAATTATCTCTTGGCTACAAATTAAAAAACATAAATAATTCAAATGATTTTCAAAATCCAAAAATATAGGTGATCAAATAACTATGTGGTAATATTTAACATGGTTGTTTAATAAATCAATTATTTATTTGATTAATTTTCGCCAAAAATATCTATATCACTGGTCAAAATTTGACTATTTTGAAAATTGTTTGACTTTTTTCTACATAGAAGAATAGGTGTACACATTAAAAAATACATATGAATGTGTTAATGACAAAAACTCTTTTGTGTCATTGTGATTTAAAATGAATAATTGATGTAAGATTTTGGTCATACTGTCGCTCAGCCCTTTTTTTTTCTTTCTTTTTTCTTTCTTCCTCTTTCACTCACAAACACACACAGATGCTAATATACATGGACATTGGGAATGTTTATTGGGAACATATGAGTAGTGTTAACTTGTCCCTAAGGGCACTAAGGGGGTTAGGACTGATGGACAGGAAGACACACACACACGCACACGCACACACACACACACACATAAAAAAAAATAAAAGGGACATAGCAAGCTACTTTTCCTACATGTATTTCACATGAAACACTCACCTTGTCCACTAGAGATGCAATTTCATTAATTGTGACTTCAACAAAAACTGCCATCTGATAAAATTGCCCTCCTTCTGTCAAAAAGAACAAAACACATATTTAAGTTTTTACAATTTACAATGTGTATATATAATGTGTGAAATGTCACCCCTCAAGATCTATTTTTTTCATGATGCACTCTAAAAAATGCTGGGTTGTTTCAACCCAACTTTGGGTCAAATATGGACTAACCCAACCATTGGGTTAAATTTTTACATTACATTTTTAACCCAAAAGTTGGGTTAGTCCAAATTTGACCCAAAGTTGGGTTGAAATAACCCAGCATTTTTTAGTGTGTCCAATTAAAACTTTTTTTCTAAACATTTTCTTACACAGATGTCACAGGGTCCTGATAAGGATTGCGAAAAAAGAAAAAAAAAAGAATAATAAAAAGTGAGTAATCATTAAAAAGTAATATTAATACCAGCAACACTGCAGAACATGACATTTGCTCAGCATCTCTTCAGCACAGAGTGATTTGTTAATGCGTCATTCACAGTTTCACAGTTGTGCCTAATAAGTCCAGAATCAAACAAGTCCTTGGGTTTAATAGAAGAATCTTAAGTATTGATCGTAAAGCTTGCTGACTGACAAGAACAGGCCTAACATATGCCTGCTGAATTACGAGTGTCATCAAAGTTTATATCAGAGGCACATTTAGCATTAACAAAGCAATGCACATTCTTTATAGCTTTTATGAACAGCTAAATACACATGCCGACACGCAGAACACTTAAACGCTGTCGCACAAGGAAGATCTTTGTAGCTAAGGCATTGAAGCCATTTCTAGAAACGTCCACCAATGGTAAGGAAGGGTGGCAGCGAACACTAGATGGGTTCATCCATCCCAAACCATTTTTTTCTTTTTTGTTTTCTGCAAATGAGACCATTTGTACATCAAACATCAATAGAAATGACTTAAGAAAGGCAATGATAATGTTTGTTGGTGTGGTTTCCATTAACTTTACGATATCATTACATAGTGACATTATGTCAAAAAGTTTTCTTAAATATAAACCATATGAATACATACATTGCACTTAACAATGAAGCACATGAACGGAAATAACCCTCACCAATAAACGACGAGGGGAAGAAGCTAAACAACAAAGAAACCAAACAACAGGTTGTGTCTAGAGCCTCCACCGACGCCTCGCATTTTCAAATGTCTGATAGTTTGATCTGGGACAAGAAAAGGCACTTTGCTACATTTGGCAGAGAGCAGAGGACCGTTTAAACACGTCGATACGGATCAGGAAACGCTGTCTTGACCCTCATACTCGACAACCATTGAACACCACACCCTAAAGTACTTTAAAATCCCAGTTTCCACAGATTCCCATCCCCTCTGACATGTGAAAAAGTTCAGTTGGCCAGGATCCTGACGTCCAGAAGCAATATTTCACTTCTCGTTCTACCTGTCAATGCAAGTCCCCAGATGAAGAAAGGGAAGTTTCTGCCCAGAGAAGAGGCGCTCCCAGTGTGTCGAGGGTCAACGGCTGCGCTCTGTGCATTCACTTGATACGTCCAACCATAACGGTGTCGAGTTGCTGACCTCTGGAAGAAGATATCTAAAAAAAACAACTGGTTTGCCTTGCAGATGTTCAGTTGTCAATTAAAAACTTTGACCTACATACTGCAACCAAATTTTGCAAAAAAAAGATGCTCTGCAGTTCTAGCATTCATTTGGCAGAGATTAACAGAGAGAATCATTTACCGTGTTTTACACGCATCTCTCTCTGAAAACCTTTAGTATCACTGATACACTATTATAGTTTTTCGTAACATTTTGAATTAGATTCATTTTTTATATTTTCTGTTTTCATTTTAAGTTTAGTTCAAGTTTGAGTATTTTGATGTGTTTTTGGTCATTTTTATTAAAAAAAAATTCTATATAGTTAAGTTATTACGTTATTAGCTTTAAGTTTTGCTTCTGTTTAGTTATATAATAGTACTTCAACTCAAACTAAATGAAAATTTTGCCATTGCAATAACATTAGCTATTTCAAGAAAATACGATTTTTACGGCCTTAATTTTAGTTAGCACTAATAACCCTGCTGATTTGGTAACCTGGTTTTATCTTGTAGTTGGAATAATTTTGATCTGTTTAAAAGGGAATATTAATGATAACTGGGTGCCGATCGTATTAGAATAAGTTTCCAAGTATCACATCAAACTTCTTGGAGTTCTACTGCACTTTTCCACATTTAGACTGCTGAACTCCTGAAGGAACACAGCGTATTAGTCTGTGGTTGTGAAGGACACTGGGATACGCAGAGTTTTTCGCAATCAGCTGTAGCAGGTACATATAATACATTTTCTGTGTGTGGGTGTTTCTTTTTTGTTCACTTCACATCAATCATTTGATTGTAGAAGAGAAAGAGAAAAGGTTACTTTGTGTTTAATGCAGGAAAATTGATTGAATGTTTCTGTTTTAAAGCTTGTGTGTGTGTGTGTGTCTGTGTGTGTGTGTGTGTGAGTGAAAAGCAATATACCAATTGCATCTGAAGTCCTGTCTCTCTTCTAAATCCCTCTCCGGTTTCTTTTTCATCCTTTCTTAAAACTCTTTAAAAGTTGGGCCCAAAAGTCTGAGACCACGCTGAAAATCTGGGATTCAAAATGTAATTTAAACCAGAAAGTGTTTGGATTTAAAAAAATTTAAAACAGATTTCAGACTCTGCATTATTCCTTTTTAGGTCATGCTGGAGAAACTCAGGCTTTGCACTTAATCATTAAAGAAAAACTTAAAAATTGTTTTGCTAATATTATATTGATGTTGAAGGGATTGCATTAAATTCTAAAAACACGAAACAGATTTTCACTGGTGGCCTCAGACTCCAGGTTTTTAATAGTGTTTTACAAATTCACAAATAGTAATTCTTAACTGATTAAATATTTTAAAGCATTTAAATTCAACATAGAATTTTCCAGGCCGTTTTAAAAATTCCTGATATTTCCAGGTTTCCATGTGCATGAAGACCCTGGTGTTTCCAGCACACACAGCACCCTCCACCCAAAACAAAGTATCCTGGCATTGTTCGGATGGGCCCTCACGACCCGCCGGGGTCACAGGTCACGGCTGAAGCTGGGCGTGGCGACAGCGGGCACCGGGTGGAGGCTGAGCGCTGCTGCGCGGGAGGGCGGAGTCACTGGCACGCTCAGGGGCGTGGCTTGAGGCTCAGGCCACACCTTCCACAAAAAGCCAGAAGAAGAGACAGGCGGACAGACAGACAAATTGAAGGGATGAACGGAGAGACGATAAGACAAGAGAGCACAGGAAAGGAGACGAAATAAAGATGGAAACGACAGACAGAGAGAAACAGCGTTTAGAGAGTGGACTGGCCAATGATCTGGGGTCTTGCAGGCTGAGGCTTCTCAGACGCGCTCATGCAAGACTGTAACTGCAGATCCTGCAGAAACACAGAACAGGACAGACAGTGGCACCTCTGCACTGCTGTGTGTGTGTCGGTGATACTGTTTTGAAGTTTAGAAAAATAATGATGCAATAATGAAAATTCTGCCATTAGTTATTATATACCCAGTTTTTTCAGCATTTCTCTATTTGTGTTCCACCGAGAAAATAACAGCATACAGGTTTTGGAACAACATTGTGGTGAGTAAATAATGACAGAATTACATTTTTAGGTGAACTGTCCCTTTAAATTGCACTTGTAAAAATAGAAGCCTAACAAGCACAACATTCTGCCCTTCTATTTCCCAACATTTCCAGCCATTTTCATGTCTTTTTTCTTTCTTCCTGTTTCTCATTCTGTAGAATAATATGTTCTTTCTGGTGCACAATGCAGCTCTAATTCAGTCTCTGAGATTCCCTGCTGGTACTCCTCAAAACTGAGAGAGAGACAGATGGAGAAAAATAACCCTTTTCCTCTGGAATGATACCGGAGATGGTGCTCAGAAGCGGGATCTGTAAACCTCAATTAAAACTGGCCTGCATTTCCACAGACTTCAGAGAGAAAATATTACATATATAACAAATAAAATTCATTGCACTATTTTCAACATAAGATACAGTATATATATATATATATATATATATATATATAAAATTAATTATAAAAATAAAAATATATATATAAATATATTTAATGTATAAACGTAACATTTTTCTCAAATATATCCATGCATGTGTGTGTATTTATATATACATAATAAATATGCACAGTACACACACG